GAAGAGCGAGCTGGCACCTGGGAGCTCGGGGAGAAGGGGTCCAAAGGGCGCGAGCGCCCGGGGTGCTAAGAGCCCATGGGACGGGCACCGACATGGCAGAACAGGCCGAGGGGAGCAGCTGCCGGGAGGCGCGCGGAGCAGGGTCAGCAGCTAAGGTCCTGCACGGCCCGGCGCCCGGGACCCCGCGGCGGTGGGTGAAGGAGGCGTGCCCCGGGAAGGAGCCGCAACTGGGACCTGGAGAGCGAGGGGAGGAGAGGGGCAGAGAGGGTGACCTGGAGGCGGGATCTGCGAGTGATGTCAGGTCGACTCTTGAGCTTCATTTCCATAGCTCGCTGCAGCCTCTGCCTGGGGGAGTTGTGTTTGGTTACCAAGATCAGCGCTACCAAATTGCAGCGGGGCTGATTTGGGGGCTGGGAATTTACCGTTCCGCTGTGCAGGCACTGATTTTTGTTTGTTTGCTTTAAAGCAAGGTTTGTTTTCGTTTTGGTTTCTGTCGGATTTTCTCCTCATTTGTAACTCACTTTTCTATTTTTACTTTTCTCAACCTGAAGATCTTTCCATTATCCTATCTCTTCATCTTGCTTTGAACCTTGATTTCCTATTACATAAGGTATGCTTAAATCACACAAGGGTTCGAAAGGCGGCTCTTTTGCAGATGAAAGTTTTAAAACCCTATCCTTACTTAACCGGTCTCCATGTGTTTTATTTAGAAATGGCCACCGAACATCCCTCTTTTAGCTTCTCCACGAGACTTTTCCTCCTCTCCCCATATATGATTTACATGGCATTTTTATTAAACTGAAAACTAGTACCTGACCTGCAGCGTCAGCATTTGGAAGCAGCCAAAGTCTGCAAATCAGCTGCGAAGACGCGCAGTGCACCTTCACTCCCTTGCATTATTGCTGAATTCCAGCGCTTTCAACAATTTGGTCGTTTCTTGACTCAATACTGTGTCTTTGTACAGTTACATTACACACGGGAGTAATATGGTCATTGCTTTGTGTCCTGAAATCCGTATTTCAGGCCCGGGAAATACTAATAATTAATGTTGGGGGAATCAAGATGACTTCTCCTGAGTACCGTGCCTCTCTCTTCAGCTTCTGCAGAAACTAGCTAAATATGGAACCTATTTCACCTCATTCTGTGCCTCAGTTTCTGTAATGCAAATTGGAATTACATAGCACAATCTTAGGGACTTGTAGAAATAAGTTAATGTGATTTAAAAAAAATTGCTTAGGCTTCTAGACTTTCCCTGAACAAAGAAGTTGCATGATTTGACTATCTGATTAAGTCATGTTTATGCCCCACTGGTATAAGAATTGCCCCTTTATATTGCTTTAAAATGTAGATTGTACTTAAGCAAAATCATTTATTCTTTTGTTGTCAAACTGAAGTTGGTGAGGTTCTTGTGGGGTTAGACCTCTTAATTTCTCTGTTCTCTTGTACTGGTGTCTACTTTTTGGCTTAAACTTTTTAACAAATCTACAACTGAGGTGAAATATTTTAAGAATGTTTGTACGTTTTGTGCATCCTGCTTTACGTGGGACTAGAAGTGTCGACTTTATAATTATTTCGTGTTCTTCTGTTTATCAGTCCTTCTTTCACCCCTTCCTTAAATGCAGTTGGGTGTGGTTGAATGAAATATTCAGGTCACTGGGGGTTAGTGATGTGCTCTATCTCAAGGTTCAAGATTCTGACCCCCTATTTAAAAAAAAAAAAAAAAGAAATAATGCATCCTCCTGAATTAAGTGACAAGGAATGACAAAGTTAATTGGAAAGTTATATTTTTGGTTTTGCTCAATTATGTTGAAAAGTACGACTTCGGAGTAAAAGACTTTGATGAATTTACAGAGCATTTATTTACAAGAAAGGCTGATGGAGAGTTTGCAGGTGATTCAAAGATGGTATTCTTTTGATACAAGTAGTACTAACCAGCTGCTGTTATTCTCCTTTAACTGTTTCTGCATACCTGAGTGTCAAACTATTAAAAGCCCAGCTGCCACTGAAGGACTGGAAGGTGTAAAGGCATAGAGAGGAACTGTGGCTACTGAAGACCCTGTGGGAGAGGGGTGGGCAATGGGGGGAGGGTGCGAGGGAGGCAATCAAGGGGAAAAAGAAAGAAGCAAAACATTTAAGGGACACAAAAATGGAAAATGATCTGTTGATAATGTGCATTGTAATATCTTTGACTGAACCAATATACAGTGTATTCATGATGGGAAAATGCATTTGGTATGCTGTAATGAGATGCAGTGATTGAATGTAAATAAATAAACTTAAAAAAAAAAAAAGGCCCACTGCCTCAGTATCCCAATCTCAAGATTAAGGAGGAGAATCCAAGAAAAAGGAACCTAGGAGTGAGAAAAAGAAAATTCCATGAGACCAGCAGATGGCGTAATGAGTATGTGGCTGGACTCCCATGTAGTCCACTGCAGTTTAAGTCCTGGACCCAGCGGCTTAAAACTCACGCTGGGCGCGTGTGCGTGCATGCCAAAATCTAGAGAGGAGAATGGAGAAGGGACTGCAGTATGGCCATCCCCCTGGGGCAAGATTTCTCACTTTCTATCTCTGTCTCTCCAGCACTGCATACACCCTATAGCAAAAATCTCTCTCAAAAAAGAAAAGAAAAAAAGAAAACTCCTGCCTACTGGCTTTGCTGCATGGGGAAGAGTAGCAACATTAAAGACCACCTTTAATTTAACCCCGTGGATGCTCTGGTTCTTCTTCCTTAAGTTTTACTTTACGGAGACACTTAATGCCATTCTAAGAAATAACTAAAATAATAACAATAAAGGGCCATTTAATACTAGTAAAACATTTGTCTAGATTTTATTCTAAAATATTATTAGATCAGGCAAGGCACATACCCAAGCAAGTGTAGTTAATATTCAAAAGTACTTTAAGTTAGTTTTCAAATGGGAGGAAACTGAGAAAATTGTTCTTTTTATTGTTTACTTCTTTGTGTGGTATCCAGGTGTTAAATGTGCTCCCATTTTTTTCTTTGTTCAAGTACTATCCCTATTAAAATAGAACTACCATCTATGTAATTCCATAGCATAACCCAGCTGAGACTAAGCCAGCCTGAGTTACATAACCATTAAGTAAGCCATTTTAACACTCAGGTACATTACATTCCTTTTTTATTGAGCAGACATGGCTTTCACTGTCTAATAAAATATTTTTATTTGATAGTCTGTCCTTGCTTATAGCCTCATGTAATCAGAGGGACAGCATGGTTAAGATGTTGTATGCAGAGCTTTGAAATCCAGTTGTGTTCACTCACTAATAACTCACTTGGGAAATTAGATCCTTTCTTATCTGTTGGATCTCCTAGACCATACTGCAAATGTAGAACCTATTTCTACTTTCTCCTGGTGCCTCAGTTTCCACAAAACACACCCTCAGGGAATTGTGTGCATTCAACAAAGACCTTTAACTGTAAAAGCATTGCTGAGCAGTCACTTGTATTTAAGAAATTCATTCTTCAATAAAGAATGATTCATTTGTACTGAGCTACAAACAAGCCATCAGTTAGTTAAAGATGTTCGTCTTCCAGTCATTCAGAGAAAAATTGCAGTTGCCCTTTCTAAGCTTTGGTGACTGACTGATAAAAAGGTCAGTAGGCCTCTAAAGGAAGTGAAAGTTAACATTTAGGCTTGTTTCCCCATTGTTTTCCCCCTAAATTTCTGCAAATAAGATCTAAAATAGCTTTTACTGCATGACGATACGGTATTTCAAACAGTGGCCAGATGTGTTCTTTACCAAGAATATTGGCTAGTTGTTAACCCTGGGGGAAGTTACCTATCTTCTCTCCGCCCCAGCTTCCTAAAGGGTAGAACATTTATATCCACTTTGTGAAGGTTAAATGAATTAATGGGTCTAAGACACCAAGATCTGTGACTGATGTGAGAACTAATAAATTTCAGCTACCATTAACAGAAGTATTAGTATTCATTTAAATACAAGTTATTTATCTTAACAATTGATACTCTTACCTCCAAGACAGAATTTTTTGTAGTCATATTTCTTTTTCTTCCTTCAGCTCCACAAGGAAGCATTCATATTTAATACCTTTCATCCCAGGGTATAAACCACTGAGTGTTGGTCCAGTAAGTGACCTTTTTCACAATGTTGTATAACCAGTTCATAGATTTCCATATCAGCACCAGTAGTAATTTTGAACTATAAACACAGAAGTCGTTTTTCTGACTAAAATAAACTACCTTCCATGTTTGGTCCATTTGAGTTTTATCTATACTTATAGTCTAAATTATTGCTTCGTCAAAACCTCAAGGTGTTAGTCATTGATTTTTGAGTTTACGAAGGAAGCCACTGCAACAATATATACAATTAACCTTTGACGTTAGTCCAGAGTTCAGAAGGGTGACTTTAAAACTTTCTTAGTAACGGCAGAGCAGTTCTGTGCTGCTGAACTGCTGAAGTAATCCTACACGAGTATTTAACCAAGTCTCTTCATCCAGTTTTGCTGGGATCATCAGTGATATATCAAAAACAAAACAAAACAGAAGGTTGTGCTCAAGACCCATCTAATTCATCCAGCTTGGTAGTCTGTAATGAGTATCAACATTTTGACTTGTCAACAGAAAGTTTTCTTTCATTTCTAATTTGAAATAAATCAATCTTTGACTCTTATTTAGGCACATTAAACACTTGGAAAACTGTATATGCAACTTCTCTTACCTATTGTTTTTTTGCAGATCTTAGGTGATGGGCAGATCAGAAAGTCAGATGGATATAACTGATATCAACACCCCGAAGCCAAAGAAGAAACCACGATGGACCCCCCTGGAGATCAGTCTCTCGGTCCTCGTCCTCCTCCTCACTGTCATAGCCGTGACCATGATAGCACTTTATGCCACCTACGATGGTAAGTTACTCCTGAGAGGATGCAAATGCAAAAGAGAGTGTGATTTTTATCTTATGCTTTTGCTATCTACCTAACAAATGTGTTAAGACACTTAAGCATGGAAGTATAAAGATGAGTTTATAAAATGTAACATCGGTATGTCACAACAATTAATTTTGAGTGAAGTACAATGTCTTTTATGTTTGAGCTAAGTTATTAAGTGCCAAGTATTTTAGTACACGCATGCTTACTTTATGAGAATTCTAATGTGTAATTTTATTTGATTAAAGTATACACGATTTTATGGCCAACTTCAATAATAGTCATTAGTCAACTTTTGTTGTGTCATTAAAATTCTAAAGGGCTTCACAGGAATTTACAAAGTCTAATTTGAGTCTTGGAAGTTTTTCACAATAAGGATTAGAAAAGATTGGTTCCTTAATGGGGAAAAAAAAAAAAAGATTACCAGGCTAAAACAACTGATTATTTCTATTTAATAAGCGTATGGCTTAGTTGGTGGAAATGGCATAATAACCTTTTTGGTTTTATTCCATAATCAAAATTTTAAATTTAGGGTTTGCCTATTTTATTTCTCTAACCATTGGTATGTATATTCTAACATAGCTTTAAAGAGTTGCATATTTAATTTTAAAAGAACAAAAGAGAGAAATTAGGAAATATGTATTATAAATATTTATGTGTATATCCTCTTGTTTTTAGATGGCATTTGCAAGTATATATATATATATATATATATATATATATATATATATATATATATATATATATATATATATATATATATACACACACACACACACACACACACACACAAATATATATACACACACATATATAAAGTCTCTTTGTTTATATTCTTAGTCATTATAGAACACTCATTTATGTGTCTGGCTTTATACTCAAGAAGAATAAAAATATACTTAAGTAGATTAATTAACTCATTTATTCTTTAAAAAATGCACTTTTCTCAGCTCTGGGATGGATGGTAGTATGGTAGAGAACTGTATCTCTATCTTTATGGAGTTTTCCATGTAGTTGGAAAAAGAAAAGGAACACAATGAAACGATGAGCATATATCATTAAGTGTTGAATTTCTTTTTAATCGTGAGGGGTTGAAAATTAAGAAGGCGGTGACTTGTAACCTTGTAAGGCTAAATGGAGAAGTCAGGATTTGGAAAGGCCCTTGAAGTGGGGTCATGTTTTGGGAGTGGAGGTGTAGAAGAGAGGATTCCAAACAAAGAGAAAAACATCAGTATGAATAATATTGGGACCAGCAGGTGGAATGCTGGTTAAGGCGCTGGACTCCCACATAGCCTACTATGGTTCAAGTGCTGGACCTGGAGGCTTGATAATCACTTGTGCCTGCACCCAAAATCCTAAAAGGAGAATGGAAGAGAAGAATTGTGGCGTGACCCTCTCTATCTCTCTCTGGCAAGCATATGTGCTCTATGGCAAAAGTAAATAAATAATGTTATCAAGAAGCAATAAAAGTGTAGGCTTGTTAAGATAGGAGCACATTAAGAAGCTCCTTGAAAATCTACCTCTAGTCTTGAAGTTGTAGCACAGGAGAAATAGATATTTTCTTGAACAGGGGAGTGATAAGTAAAAAGATGATTCTGGGAATGCTAGGCTGGGTGGATTGAGTATGGGTTGATAAACCTGGGAGGGCAAGCAGGTGGGATAAGCTGCCCTAATCCAGGCATAAGATGAAGTTGATCTGGGCTGGAGAGGCAAGAGCACTATTGAGACAATGGGAAGATGAGAAGAACTTGTTAAATGAAATGAAGGATACAAACGAGTTGAGAATAATGCTGTTTTTCTTTTTTTCTTTTTTTGAGCGGTTTTTGCTGTAGGGTGCTTGTGCTCGCCAGAAAGACAGGGAGAGCCAGAAAGTGAGAAATCACCCCCCAGGGGGGATGGCCACACCGCAGTCCCTTTTCCTCCAGTCTCCTCTTGGGATCTTGGGCATGCACATACGCACACGCACACGTGCCCATTGTGAGTTTAAGCCACCGGATCTGGGACTCGAATCACAGTTGACTACATGGGAATCCAGCAACATAGCCATTACGTCAACTGCTGGTCCCTCAATGCTGTTTTTAAATCTAAGGGACCAGAGAGAATAGTTTTAAGCCACACAGAAAAAGAGACATTAGGAGGTGAAGTTGGACTAGTTTGGTCTAAGCCAAGACTAACACCCAACTGAAGATAGACAGAAACGTAGAGATGTGGTATGAAAAGCTTAAAGTTTGGATTTGACCAGCAGGTGGCATAGGGGTTAAGGTGCTAAATTCCCACATGCCCAACAGCGGTTTGAGTCCCAGACCTGGTGGCTTGAAAAATCACACTAGGTGCATTTTTGTTATTTAGTGAACTTGACAAAATAATAATGGGAAAATACCTTGGAATCCTAGGTTATAGCCTGACATCTTAAATATATACTCTTTGCTTTACTGTATTGCTTTTTAAATGAAAAAAAAAATTATTTACTTTTCAATTGCCAGATGGCATGTGTATTTACCAGAGAGAGAGAGAGAGGGAGGAAGAAAATACCCGCTATGGGATGTGGTCACACTATTATCCATTCTCCATTTTTCCATCCTGTGAGAATTTTGAGCATGTACGTACATACGTGTGGCATGTTTTTTGAACCACAAAGGCTAGAATTTGAACCAAGGTAGGCCATGGGATCTGACTCCCTTAACATCTAGGCTGTGGGACTGGCCCTCTGTATTGCTTTTTGATGGCTGTTTTGCTACCCTACTATATGCTCAAGTCTGTCCTGTTATGGGAAGCTTTCATTTTTGTGTTGATTACTAAGGGTTAGTTCTTATGTTCTTAATGCAGTTGACATTCCTCTTAAATCTCTTAATCTGTAAATTCTCTTTTCTGTCTATCACTTTTTTTTTCTTGCCTTTTATTTCTGGAGAAACTTTATCCTTTCGCTAGGTAGACGTTGTAGTTTTTGTTGTGTGTCACCTGTGCTCACCTTGCTGAAGAAAGACAGAGTGAGAGAGGAAGGGGAAATGAGAAATCACCCTCTGGGGAATGGGCATATCACAATCTCTTTTCTCCCATTCTCCTTTCGGAACTTTGGGCACACACGCGCTAGTGCCCGCGTGTTTTTCGAGCTGGCCCATCTTGGATTTGAACTGCTCAGTTGGCCAGGTGGAATCCAGCCACATTAACCACCAGGCTACCAACTGGCTTGATAGATTTCATTTTTATTCCTTCTGACTCTAGAGATAATTTTGCCCCAGAGATCTAGGCAAATTCCTCTAATTGCACCCACCCCAAGGAGCAATGTCACATTTGAATTCTGAAATCTTAAATGTGACTTAATGTTTAGGAATATGGTTTTTGACTAATGTTTAGAAAGTCTCAACTCATTAGAATATCTTAACCCATATCTTTTTATTGTAGCTTAGAACTCATATCAAATGTAAAATACCTGGCAGAATTGTTTCTTGACAGAAATATATACAATAGAAATGGTTTCAGTGGTAAACAAGGTTGCTGTACAAGATTTTTTTTCTTCATTCTGCTGTTTGTTCACAAACTGTTAGAGTGTTTTCATATTTGGAGTTACTGTACTTTCTAGGGGAAGATGAATGATACACACCTTCATGGATGGACTCTTTACACCCTGCACATACACATAGTCACACACACTCTTCTGTTGATTAGGTAATTTTTTTTTCCTGCCACAGAAAAATACTATTGGGCTGGCAGGTGGCATGGTGGTTAAAGGTGCTGGATTCCCACATGGTCGACGACGGTTTGAGGCCCATACCTGGTGGCTTGCTTTCTTACTTTCCCTTTCTCTTTCTGTCTCTTTCTGGTCAAATTAAAAAATAATAATGACAAATGGAATTAAATAAATAGATCATTCTTTAAGCAAGAGAAAATTATTTTAGCTGCAAATTATGAAAACTCTAGAAGGAATCTTAGAACAAGTAGTACAAGACTAAAAGAGTAGAGTGGATAGAGAAGAGAAGATATAATATATGGAAAGAAAGTTGTTGATAAAAAAGTAAAACATTCTACCAGCAATTCTTTTTTTTTCTTTTTTTTTTCTTTTTTTTTTTGGAGAGGTTTTTGCTATAGGGCACGTGCGCTCGCCAGACAGACAGAGAGAGACAGAGAGACAGAAAGTGAGAAATCACACTCCAGGGGGGTGACGACACCACAATCCCTTCTCCTCCATTCTCCTCTCGGGATCTTGGGCACGCATGCACACATGCCCGGCGTGAGTTTTAGCCACTGAGTCCAGGAATCAAACCGCAGTTGACTACGTGGGAGTCCAGCGACAGCCATTACACTTACTGCTGGTCCCTCTACCAGCAATTCTATAACTCACTTAAACGGCAGGAAAGCTTAAATATGAGGACAGAAATTCTTGAGAACTGGAAAAATAGGTATTGATACCCAAGGTGCTTCCTTTAAGTGACAGTTGGTTCCAACTTGAATCTTTCCCTCCGTGGAAGGGGATGTCACAGCAAGGGTACTTCTCTGTTTGATCCTTTGAAGTTAAGCAGTAGAAGGTCTGGCCATTCTATAACAAAATATTGCAGAAGTCTGTGGATCATCTTGAAATCTGCTATATTTTAAATCTGAGTATTTATGATTTAAGAATTTATAATATACAGAGAATGATGTGTATAATACATACTTTAATTTACCTCTATATGAAATGCATCAGTATGAAAGATTACATCAGACAAAAAAGTGAAACAAATACTACTAATACTTAACAACATCAGGCAATGTTCAAAATCCTACTAATAAAGTATATTGTTTACTTTATAATACAGGGAGGCTTTTAAAACTTTGTGGAAAACTGGAATTGAAGTGTGATTCTATTCTGTGCAAAGACTTTTGAAATCCGTGCAAACGTTTTTTATAATACATATTTTCCACGAACTTTTAGAAGACTTCATAGTTCTTTATTATAAATATCCCTGTATAAAATTGTCAGAAACTTGGGAGTTTGAATATGACTTTGCAAATTTCTCTATGTAAATCTAAATCCTAAAATTTGCTTTTCTTACATGGTTACCTTCCTAACTCAGAGGATTTCAAAGAATAGTGTGCTTTAAATCAGGGCTTTTCAACTTTATCACTGCTGACACTTCGGGTTGGATAATTCTTTGGCTTGGATACAGGCCTGTGTGTTATAGGATGTTTAGAGGTATCCCTGACCTCTATCCACTAGATGTGCAGTAACAACCTTCTTCCAATTGTCACATCCACAAAATGTCTCCAGCTTTACCAGTATTCTCTGGGGTGGGGTGAGGATTGGGGGCAACTGGATCACCGTAATTGGATACCATTGGTTTAAATTATTTCAGAAGTTATTTTTGTTTTTCCATTTGTGGTAGGCAGAATAATGGCCCTCCAAAGATATCCATATCCAATTCCTAGAACCTACAAGTATGTCACCTTATATTGAGGCCCGTAGGTGGCATGGTGGTTGGGGCACTGGGCTCCCACATAGCTAACCACTGTTCAATTCCCAGACCTGGCCACTTGCTTTCTCACTTTTCTTCTCTCTCTCTATCTCTTTCTGGTGAGTGCATATGCCCTGTCTCAAATAAAAAGAAATAATAATTAGCAAAATTAAATAAATTTTTTAAAAAGCATACTTCACATATGTTACCTTATATGGAAAAAAGGTAAAGATGGGATTTTAGATTTCTGGCCTCCAGACCTTTAAGATA